GCAGGGCTGGGCCGTGTTCTGCAGCCTGTCCCGCAGCCCCTCAGCTCTGACCGCGCTCGCTCTTTGCCAGATCCAGGCCGGGACCAGACACAGGAGCAGGACCGTGCCCATGGCCCCTTCCGCAGGGCAGCACAGGTACCTGCAGCTACGGCCTCCTGGGCTGGGCCTGCTGTCCCTGTTCAGCCTGGCACTGCTGTCGGAGCTCTCTGTGGCACATCCCTCTCTTCCCTGGCCTTTGTTCTCCTGCAGACATTTAGCAACCTGATAGGACCTCCGTGCAGAGAAATGATCACCATGCTGACTAAAGGCACGGCAAAGCCTGACACCATGCTAACTCAGAGTCTGGCTTCTGCCCCCAGTATGGATTTCTTTGGGGAGAGAGTTGTGTCCCGTCGAGATGAAGTAAGCAGCCTGCGGCCAGGACTTGAGCCCCCCAGAGCTTCTGTATCCCACTCAAGCTGGGCCCCCTCAGCCTTTGAGGCCAGCACAGAGTGGTGGGAAGGGAAGCGCTTGTCGGGGGAAGCTGGGTAAGTTGCTTGGTCTGGCAGCTCTCCAGCTCTCTGCTGTGCCTCCTCCAGGTGCCGGCCGTTGTGAGGAAAATGCACCAGAGTCTCTCCTCCAACACACCTCCAGATGACAGGCTGTTTATCAACATTCTGAGGCTGACTGATGTGTACCCTGCTGATGTTGTGTTCACCCTCCTGCGCTGTGCCCCATTGTGTGACAGGTACAGGGCCCCCGGGGCCTTCAGGGCTTGGGGCTTAGCAGCCTTTAGAGCCCATCACCCTGTCCATCCCATCCCACGTGGTCTGCTAAAGGGATGGAGGGTTCCAGGACTATCTGGAGCCTCTGTTTCCCAGCCCTGCCATGTCAGCCTCCATCCTGCTGCCATGGTCCCTCCCTGCTCCTCAAGGCACTTTGGCTGGCACCCCCCTGACACAGAACTCTGGCCCCACAGAGCTGCTGCAACCATGTGGAAGACCATCGCCTCATCGGGAATGACAGTGGAGAAGGTGCTGCCAAAGCTGCTTCGCGTGATGGAGGACTGGCCACTGCACAGCACGTCCACCTCTGACGGGGACAAAACAGATGTCTTTGCCCTGGCTGTGAGTTTCTGGAACTGGCCTTTGTTCAGCCCCAGATGGCCTCTCTGGTGGCTCTCCATCCTCCCCCACCACCACGTCTCCTTGCCTCAGGCACTGGGCTGGAAATGTGGTTAGGGGCAGGTACAGGGGCAGCAGGCCAGGTGCTCCCCCTGTGTCTCCCCTGGCCTTTCCCTCCCACACTTGGGCCCTGCCGCATGGATGTCTGGGCACTGAGCACTGTCTCCGGCTGGTTTCCTTTTTGCAGGCAACCAGGGTGATTTGGGAGATCCTCCGCCTGCCCTGGTGCCCAGAGCCACTGGTGAAATATTCCCCCCCTCTCCTTGTGCATCTGCTCTTCCAAGTCTTCATCAGCACAAAGCAGATGCCGGAGGAGGTCAACGCCTTCTGGAGGGGATGCCGGGAGAAACGCGGCCTTCCTGCCAACCCCAACAGGTGCTCCATTCCAGTCCTCCCATCCCTGCCATGTGCCAGGGGCTGGGGCCAGAGCTCTCAACATGGCCTGGGCTTTGCTCTGCACACAGGTTTGCAGGGCAGACTGTGAAGGCACTGCTTCGCCGTCTACGGTGTCTACATTTGGTGATGGCAATGGAACGGAAGCGTGGCTGGGACACGCTCCTCAACACTGACACCCACCACTACGCAGTGGGTCTGCTGGCCAGGTGAGACCCCCTTGTCCCCGCTGCCCCTGTCATTTCTGCCCTCTGCACAGGGCACCCCACGCAGTGCCCGTGGTCATGGGCCGGAGGGCCTTGTCACCCAGGGATGGCCGAGCAGAGTGGCAAAGGCTGGGAGAG